AAAAAAAAAAAAAAAAAAAAAGCCTCCTCTGATCCCTGAAGAGCTTTGAATCTGGGCTAACCCTTCAAAGCTATTCCAAGTGTCATCAGGGGAAGGAATTTTTACATCCACCCATCTCTACACGTCAACTAGTCATTGAATGCATGCAGACTGCTCCTAGGAAACGTGCTTGACCTCAGCCAAAGGAGCTCTTTTCAGCTGAGGCCTGGCAGCAGGGATAGCCAGCCAGCAGCAGTGAGGGGAATCGGTCCTTCTGGAGAGTCAGGGATGCATCACAGCAGCTGCTATATATACATACCCTGTAATCCAGCGATTCAATTCCTGTATGTGTGCAACAGAAATATGTACATATATTAGTCCACACTGGAAACAACTCAAATGTCCATCAGCAGTCAAGAAATAAGCTGGACGTGGTGGCTCATGCCTGTAATCCTAGCAGTCTGGGAGGCTGAGAGGGTAGAGTGCTTGAGCTAGGAGTTTGAAACCAACCTGAGCAACAGTGAGACCCTGTCTTTAAAAAACAGCCAGGTGTTGTGGTAGACACCTGTAGTACCTGCTACTTGGGAAGCTGAGGCAAGAGGATTGCTTGAGCCCAAGAGTTTGAGGTTGCTGTGAGCTATGATGCCATAGCACTCTACCAAGGGTGACAAAGTAAGACTCTGTCCACCCTCCCTCCAAAAAACAAACATAAAAACAGTCAAGGAATAAAATATGGTATATTTGTGTAATGGAATATTATATAATACAAGTAAAATTTTGAGTAAAAGATACTAGGATACTGGTATTCATTTTTCTTTTTCTTTTTTTTTTTTTGCAGTTTTTGGCCAGGGCTGGGTTTGAACCCGTCACCTCTGGAATATGGAGCTGGCACCTTACTCCTTTGAGCCACAGGCGCCGCCCATATTTATTTCTCATTGTTTCTGTAACAAATGACCCTACATTTATAGCTTGAAATTTATTATTATCTTACAATTCTGTAGGTTAGAAGCCTGACATGGCTAAAGTCAAAGTGCTGGCAGAGCTGGGTTCCTTCTGGAAGTCCAAGGGGAGAATCTGTTTCCTTGTCTTCCACTTTCTAGAGGCCACCCACACTCCTTGGCTAATGGTCTCCTCCTCTGTCTTCAAAGCCAGCTACAGAAGGTGCACTCCTTCTCACAGCACATCCCTCTGATCTCTTTTGCCTCTCTCTTGCCTACCCTTGGGATTACACTGGGCCCAATGAATAATCCAGAATAATCTCCCTATCTCAAGGTCCTCAATTTAACCACATATGCCGCATCCCTTATATTGTGCAAGATAACGTATTCAGACAGTCTGGGAGTGAGGGCATGGATATCTTTGGGGGTCATGAATCTGCCTATCACAATACTATGATTCCATTTTTTACAAAGTTCAAAGCTAGCAAACTAATCAGGATAGTGTTTGCCTTCAAGAGGATGTGGGGAACTCTGAGGGGGTTGCAGTTTTTTTAAATTAATGTTTAATTAAAAAATTATTACAATGGTGGCTCATGTCTGTAATCCTAGCACTCTGGGAGGCCAATGTCAGGAGGATTGCTTGAGGTTAGGTGTTTGAGACCAGCCTGAGCAAGAACAAGACCACTGTCTCTACAAAAGAATAGAAAAATTAGCTGGGTATGGTAGCATGAATCTGTAGTCCCAGCTACTTGAGGGGCTGGACTTAATTGAGCCCAGCAATTTGAGATTTCAGTGAACTATGATGATGCCACTGCATTTTATCTCAGGCAACAGAGGAAGACCTTGTTTCAAAAAAAACATTTTTTTAGGCTCTGTGCCTGTACCTCAATGGCTAGGGTGCCGGCCACATAAGCTGGGGCTGGTGGGTTTGAACCCAGCCGGGGCCTGCCAAGCAACAAAGACCACTACAACAACAACAACAACAAAAATGGCTGGGTGTTATGGCGGGTGCCTGTAGTCCCAGCTACTTGGGAGGCTAAGCCAAGCGAATAGCCCAAAAGTTTGAGGTTGCTGTGAGCTGTGATGCCATGGCACTCTACCAAGGGCAACTCATAACATAAAATTTACCATGTTAACCATTTAATGTGTACATTCATAATGTGGTACAACCAACTGTCATACAACATCCATCTCCATTACTTTTTTTTTTTTTGAGACAGTCTCATGTCACCCTCAGTAGAGCGCTGTAACATCACAGCTCACAGCAACCTCAAACTCTTGGACTTAAGCAATTTTCTTGCCTTAGCCTCCCAAGTAGCTGGGACTACAGGTGCCTGCCACAACATCTGGCTATTTTTTGTTGTTGTTGCAACTGTCATTGTTGTTTAGCTGGCCCAGGCCAGGTTCAAACCTGCCAGCCTCAGTGTATGCGGCTGTTGTGGTAATCACTGTGCTGCAGGTGCTGAGCCTCGTAACTCTTTTCATCTTGTAAACCTATAACTCTGTATCCATTAAAGAATAACTCCCCATTTGGGAGCATTTTATTTTCTTATCTGGGCACTGGTTACATAAGCATGTTGGCTTTGGGAAAATTCATCTACTTGAACCCTTAATATATGTGTACTTTCCTGAAAATTTTTTATACTTCAATAAAATGGTCTACTTAAGTAAAATAGCTATCCTATGGCTAAGACTCAGGCAATCCCTGCACTTGTGTAGCTTTTATTCTGGTGGGGAGACATAAAGTAAATTATTACAAACTGCAATATGTGCTAAAAAGGAAATTAACATGGTACAGAAAGAGAGAGTGAGTTTAGAGAATGGTTTAGATTCAGCATTCAAGAGAAGCCTCTCTCAGAAGGTGACATCTAAGTTGATACCGAAAGGCTGAGACAGCATCACACAAGCCAAGCTCTGCCGGGAGAGTGCAGAAGAGGCTCTGAGGCTGAGGCTCAGAAGACAGCAAAGTCAAAGGCCCTCAGGCGGGAAAGAGCTGGACATAGGCAGTATCAGGAACTGAGAAAAGTGGAGAGGAGAGATGAGATTAGCTCTTTAGAGCCATGGGAAAGGGTTGAAGTATTTTTTCCTAAGTGAATCAACAAGAGACTTTTTCTTTCCTTCCTTCCTTCCTTCCTTCCTTTCTTCCTTCCTTCCTTTCTTTTGAGATAGAGTATCACTCTGTTGCATTTGGCAGAGAACTGTGGCATCATAGCTCACAGCAATCTCAAACTCTTGGGCTCAAGCAATCCTTGTGCCTTAGCCTCCCAAGTAACTGGAACTACAGGCACCGGCCACAACACCCAGCTAGTTTTAGTAGAGATGGGGTCTTGCTCTTGCTCAGGCTGATCTCAAACTCCTGAGCTTAAAGCAATCCACCTGCCTCAGCCTCCTAGAGTGCTGGGATTACAGGTGTGAACCACTGTGCCCAGCCAAGCCTTTTTGTTTTCATTTGTGAAATACTATTCTGGTAGCTTCAGATTATGTAACTGAAGAGGAACAAGAAGATAAATTTGGAGGCATTTACAATCAGCTAGAAGGGATGGAC